GTAGGTGTCTGTTTGTCTGTCTGTCTGTCTGTCTGTCTGTCTGTCTGTCTGTCTGTCTGTCTGTCTGTCTAACAACTAAAACGCCCGCCTCTTAAATGACCTAGATAGCGTCGATGGGGACGTAAACGTTTGGCAGTTTTAGTCATATCTACACACACACACACACGCACACACACACACACACACACACACACTCACACACACACACTCACACACACACAGACACACACACACACACACACACACACACACACGCACACACGCACACAAGTTTGACAGTTAGATTTATATCTATACTCACAAGTTTGACAATTAGATTTATATCTATACACACACTTTTGACAGTTAGATTTATATCTATACTCACAAGATTGACAGTTAGATTTATATCTATTCACACACTTTTGACAGTTAGATTTATATCTATACTCACAAGTTTGACTATTAGATTTATATCTATACTCACAAGTTTGACTGTTAGATTTATATCTGTACACACAAGTTTGACAGTTAGATTTATTTCTATACACACAAGTGTGACAGTTAGATTTATATCTATACACACACTTTTGACAGTTAGATTTATATCTATACTCACAAATGTGACAGTTAGATTTATATCTATACTCACAAGTATGACAGTTAGATTTATATCTATACTCACAAGTATGACAGTTAGATTTATATCTATACTCACAAGGATGACAGTTAGATTTATATCTATACTCACAAGATTGACAGTTAGATTTACATCTATACTCACAAGTTTAACAGTTAGATTTATATCTATACTCACAAGGATGACAGTTAGATTTATATCTATACTCACAAGTTTAACAGTTAGATTTATATCTATACTCACAAGTTTGACAGTTAGATTTATATCTGTACACACAAGTTTGACAGTTAGATTTATTTCTATACACACACGTTTGACAGTTAGATTTATATCTATACACACACTTTTGACAGTTAGATTTATATCTATACTCACAAATGTGACAGTTAGATTTATATCTATACTCACAAGTATGACAGTTAGATTTATATCTATACTCACAAGGATGACAGTTAGATTTATATCTATACTCACAAGATTGACAGTTAGATTTATATCTATACTCACAAGTTTAACAGTTAGATTTATATCTATACTCACAAGTTTGACAGTTAGATTTATATCTAAACACATAAGTTTGACAGAGTTATTTCTACACACACAAGGGAAAAGTTTGACAGTTAGATATATGTATATGAGTCATTTTCAAATATATGTCGCATTTTTTGAATTTGTGATTCTAGACCTAATTCCTTCGATACCAATATTAAATATTGCTTACAATGGCCTGTGACTGTGTTCACGAACAAGGCAAAACTCCGTGACCTTAAAATCAGGTTTTTAAAACTGCCCTAGTCAAAGAAATTGTACAGCTCTTTTGTAAATCTTGCTCAGTAGGTAAAAATGGCAAGTTCCGCAACACGTATATGTTTTTTTAAACATGCTTAGGGATAAAAGTCATGGCTCCAGGGATTAAATATTTCACAGTTACACAGAGTATTGGACAGCATTGCCGAAGCAAAAAAATCTTGGTGCCCGTCCTTGTCTTATTTTTGTTAATTAGCTCTTTATCTCCAAATTTTGCTTAACCCATTTCAAAGTTCTCTCCTGTTACCCAGCATTTCACACAGATGAATGGTCCCTAGATATAAATGTATTTCTTTGAGAATTTGCGAGTGAATATTCCTTTATATAACATGAGACAGCGGAGCTTATGCAACACACAATTGAAAGATACAGAGCCAAGTTCAACCCAACATGGTGAGTATTTGAGCATAAATGTCCCTCCTGTTACCAGGGTCTATAACGACTTATCATACAGAAATCCGATACACTGTCCTTTGGTTAGGAAGTCTACCAAGGTTACATTTCAATGATAAGACAATCCATAACATGAGCTCTACCCAGTCAGTGGTTGTCAGGTAATGCTGTACAGGAATTCCCTCCTGTTACTTTCCCCCTGTTACCCGTGTTTTGGTAACAGGAGAGAACAAAAAGTAACAGGAGAGAAAGGAATGTGCTCAATAGCTTAACTGACCACAGTTTGGGTTAGAATGTGAGGTAGTCCACGCTTAATAGAGTAAATGAAAGAGGTTAAAACTAAAGGCATGTTTGTGTTTTTTTCAACAGAACACCTGAATTGTAATTTTTATCTTTGAGTAACAGGACGGAATTGAGAGTAACAGGAGAAAATACAAGATAGCAGGAAGGAGGGGTACGTGTCAAATAGCTAAACCGACCAAAGTTCGGGTTGAAAATGGGCCATTTTTCACAAACAAAACAGAATAGTTATTATATGAAAGATGTGTCTGTAACTCTTGTAACAAACTCCTGTATTGTGATTCTGTAATTTAAGTAACAGGATGGAATGGAGAGCAATAGCGAGGGAACAACAGAGTTAAAGGAAAGACAAAAACCTTCCATGTTTCCTACATCGATGACAATAATAATGCAAACTACTTTTGTTCCACCAAAGTCTAGAACTTTCTATTTTTTAAAATGATATCGAAGAGTTCTAAGTAATCGTGATATTGCGGGTTTAAGGGTTCGAGGCTCCGCTCGGTCCAACATTGTGTCCTTGAGAAAGACACTTACCCCACGAATTTCCCATTTGGCTCCGTCCTTTCGGAGAGGACGTTAACCGTTAAACTCAGGGGTCCCACCTCTGAAATAATCTTATAAGTGCCTTAAACCTGTAGCATTTAACTATTTTAACCAAAGAGTTCCTAAAATGTAGGTCAAGATTTAGATCTTTTATTTAGTTGAAGATTTAGAACATTTCACGTTTTCGCAGAGACCTAGATGTAGACTGAAGGGATAAATGAGAATCTTCCTCGCAGAAAATTTGTCACACATGAAATCAGCTTAGCTTAGTTGACTTCAGCACTATGCCACTTAATGCTAGATCTAGATTGATTGTATGAAGGGCAGGCCCTATTGATAGTTGATTTCTCAAACAGGACTTTTTATTAATATTTGCTTTGTTTCACCAGAGACAAAGCTGACTCTTGCTGAAAAAAAAGTAATAAAGGAGAGACAGAGAGAGGCGAAACAAGAACCCAGTGAAGACACTGCACGACATGCGATATGAAAAGCAGAACTGCATCAAAGACAAAGAACAAAGGGAAAGGAAACCTGTCGTTTGTGTGATTTCAAGAGACCATTGGTCAGCATGTATGGAATGGAGAACAACGAAGAGAGACACAAATCTAAAGAGGAAATCAAACTGTGCCGATGACAAAACAACAGATGCCCCATCCTCAAGTGTGCTATTTTTTTCTAGACTAAAATGTAGGTTTGCAACGAAAGCAGTGCAGAGGAAAATAAAATTAAAGTTGAAAATGAAAACCTTATCTGAGAGCAAGAAGGCAGTGAAAAGAATACTAAAATTTCCTTTTGCTATCCGGGATGAATTGAAACACCGATAAAAGGAAACAAAAGTATTCGAATGTTGGCTTCTGGAGAAATATTAAGAAATTACAAAAATCCAGAGCAAATTTTTAAATGATTTAGTAGAGGTTTTACAGCACTCGCAACTGTATAAGGTCAAATGAGCGCCAAGGGGTGGATGTCAACACAGAAGTCCTTACATGGAATCAGGCTCACTCTGCTCACCTCTCTTGCTTCAGCAGCACAAAGTCTGTTTTGACTATCTAGGCACCCCGGAAATAGCGGGTCACAAGAGTGTGACAAACATACAAAAGAAGTAGAGGGAAATGACAATAGTAAGGATTAGGAAAGAAAAGGCAGAGGTTCCCTGTTGTAGATCAGGCTCAGTTATGAGCGTGACATTGATGAATCAGCCCATTTACAATGATACTGAACATGAACGAAAAATGCCCCCCCCCCCCTTTGGGAATGACCTAAGGACACTACAGTCAGTGGCACCGCCCTAAGGGGTGAGCAAATTTTAATTTGGTAAAACTCTCAACATAAAGAGTCAAAGGAAACTGAAGAAAAAATTGCTTTCAACTCAGTGGATGGAGAAAGTGCACATTCAGGACTTTATTCCCTTTGGCCTGACAACTCGAGAATTTTGAACGATTTAAAAATATTATTGTTACCAATGCTACCTTGAAAGAGATTTTTTAAAACCCAAAATTTTACAAGCTTTTCACAGTACCAGAGCAGCTCAAACATTTGTTTTACAAGCTTTCGGCGGCGGAAGCTATTTAATAATCAGATCAAAACACTTGTGCGTGCAAGATTTGTGATAACACCGAGCAGACAGCTGACGCATCGTTTATGCACCGTGTTCATCTGAAGGTTGTTCCTGCTCAAGTTAGGCCAAAACATGCGTGCACGGATGGTGTGATCACAGAAACCCAGTCCCACTACTAAACATCACCATCGACGGGACACAACTTAAACAAGTTGAAGTATTTGAATAGCTTGGGAGCATGCTTACACATGACGGAAGATAGGGCAGAGGAAAATTGAAATCAGGACTCAAAAGCAAATGCAGAAACCTATAAACTGTCAGTACTACTCACCCATAAATACCTACCAATAAAAGTAGAAAGACAACGACTTACTCACAGCATATTCCTTCCAACACTGACTTACGATATAAAACAGGAAGATGAAAGACTGATAAACGAAATTTGACAGGGAATAAACCGGTTATGGAACAAGAACATCAAAGAATGAAATGGTTCGGTCACCTGATGAGAGTGTCACCAAATCAACCAGCTTCACGAGTTGACAATTCTAATATGTCCGGATACAAGGGCAGGTGCAGACCACGCAAAACTTGGCTGGATAACGTTATAGAGGATAGAGGATAACGTTATAGAGGATAGAGGATAACGTTATAGAGGATAGAGGATAGAGGATAACGTTATAGAGGATAGAGGATAACGTTATAGAGGATAGAGGTCTACAAGGACAGGTGCAGACCACTCAAAACTTGGCTGGATAACGTTATAGAGGATAGAGGATA